AGGGAAAGAAAATCTCCATTTTCTTCAGGAAAAATACCTCCATGAACATGCCTCTCTGCCTGACACAAGCAGTTCACAATAGCAATGTTCTTCAACAATCAACCTTTTAGTCCCAGTGTCTGAAAACAACATCTTGGGAAAGCAGGATGGAGGAAAGGAAAATTATAGCAGAGAAACAGTAACAACCACGAGAACAACTGCAGCTGAGACGACCTTCAGTATTAAGAAGTAACTGGTAAATACCTTATTGGTGTATTTATTAAAAATGGTTCCTCCTTTGGCCCCAGACAAACACACAAACATGCTCCTGTGCTGAAAGCCAAGCAGCTATTCCCTGTGCCAGCATTTAAAAGAACATTCCATGATATGGCTGTTGCTAGAAGAGAGGATATGCCAATGCCTGGAGAAGTAGTACCTGATCTCAGCTGCAGGAGGTGAGGCACAGGTGAGTACAGTTGTGCTGTAACATGTACAGGTGCCACAGGAACACCAGCTGTCCCAGATGACAGGGGTTAAAGACAACCACAGAAATCCAGGTTCTTTTAAAAAGCTCCATTAAAGCAATCACCAGTGCTCACAGAACAGCAATTGGGGCCCTACGAGGCAGAACTCAATCCCAACCCTGCAGCACTCAGTTTTCCAACTCAGATCTGTGAACTATCCCCATTTCCTCCCCTTTATTTAACAGAATTAGCAAACAAAAATTTAGAGTGCTATTCTATGAGGATTATTGTTTGCAGCAAACTTTGAGATAAAAGAGACAAATAAACATGATGCTTTTTTGTGAACCAGCTTTATCAGCAGCAAGAGTAAATGAGTTACAGGGATAACACTGGAAAACAAATTCCTTTGCTATTAGTAGTTTAATGACTTGAATATTAAACTGTACCTAAAAACTGGAGGTATATTTCATTTTCAATAGAGTGGAATGAATAATACTTTACATAATACTTTTACTTTATGTAAATACTTACATTTATGCAAGATCTTTTACCTAGCAATTTTTCCTCATGAACAATGACTAACAAATCCCATCTCTCCACCTAAATAGAAGCTTCACTTACAATACTAAGGCCATATTTTTGGGGAAGTCCTACACTACTGGTGTCATTCTAGACACCCACAAATCAAGAAGCCCTGAACCAGTTACTGGTTCACTTTTGTGGGCAGCATAAACAAGGGATTAGTTCTGGAAAAGCAGGGACTAAACCCATGTATTTGGACTGCCAGTTCTGAGCACCAACCACAAATTAGTTCAAAACTAGTCCACCATCCAACAGACCTACCTTTAACTAACTTTTTAACATTATGTCCCACAATATCATAATACCTGTTCCAAGTAAAACAGATATTAGATCCAAATTGTCGCAAAGCTCAAATACCACTAATGAAAATGTGAATATATACATGGAATGAATGTTGACACACTATGTGGAATTATCATGACACTTCAAAATTCTTTGTTTTCTAGGAATAATAATGATTACAGAGAGGTTTCATGCAATCTTTCAAGGCACTGCTTGACCTTGCTAGCAAGTTCTCATCCTACAAACGTTAACTATGAATTTAGGTTTCTTGCCACAAAGATTGGGCTGTGAACACAAAAGGATAACATTTAATAGCATGCTTAGATTAAAAATAACCGTGAAAACGCTTCTATCTCACTTAGCTTCTGCTTTAGCACAAAATACAAACAAGGTGAGAGTTATCAGGTCAAATATTTAGATTTTGTAGTAACCCATGTCTGTCTGGAAGAGAAAGAAAAACAACTTGTCTATAGCTGACAGTTCTTGATTTGTGGTCTAAACAAAGTTTATTTGAAACTAAAACCCCAAACATGCCTGTAAGATCTCACAACAGGTACTCCCCACAGCTCTCCCCGTTCCCACTTGCAGTGATGCCATTAGTCTTGCACAGGGGCTGCTGCCCATTCGGAGGCTTGAGACAGCACATCCCCCTTTTCAAAGAAAGGGAGGAAAAAAAGGTGTAGATTCAGCTGAGCTTGGCCACTTCTGCCTCCAACACCCAGGGAGCACGTGTGCCTGCCTCCTGTACCCAAGACAGGTGTGCACACCTGAGCCCTGGGAGCTGTGTGCACCCCTGCCACTCGAGGTGTGCAGATGTCCAACCCTTCACACCAGACACGTCAGCATGCACATGCCTGCACCCCAAAACGTGATGGATGCTTCTGTGTGGGTGCCCTCACACCTGGGGATTGTCTGCACAGGCACACACAACCCAGCTCCCAAGGGAAGTAGGAAAACATGCCATGACAGACGAGGGGTGCACATACGTGCTGGGGTCCACGTGCAGCCGAGCATGGTGAGGTGGAAAGATGCTGGTGTGGGATGCTGGGTTCCCCTGGGACTGGGGAAACATGGATGTTGGGAATGAGTGCAACCTGGCACTGAGTGTGGAGTGGTTGTGTGTCCTGACAGCAAGAGGTGTGTGAGGAGCCGTGCAGCCCAAGGCCAGAGGACAGGCAGCCATGCCTCCCGTTCCTGGGGGAGTGGGGAGGCAGAGCGGCTGCCCACCCTGATCCCGGCGGGACAGGTGGGTGCAGAGAAGGCGCAGGAATCCAGGCGGGCAGGGCAGGAGCCCGGCGGGCAGGGCCCCCGTTCCCGGCGGGACAGGGCTGGGGCGCGGCAGCCCAGCGGGGAGTGAGGCAGAGACGCTGCCATTGGGGCCCGTGACCTTGAGGGACACCCCAAGCGGGTCGCACCGCCCGCCCCACGGGAGGCCCGCGGGCCCGGCCCCTCAGCTGCTCCGCGCGGGGCGCCATTTCCAGTCAGAGACGGGGAGGGGGGG